CATAGTATATCATTTTTCTCCTCCATATACATAAAAATGAATAGCACATTTCGGTGAAAAAGAACAGCACATCTCCGGGAACCCATCATTGTGATGATGGTGATTCATTTCCTCTGTGGCTTCCAAGTAGTGCACCGGAGGTAGGACAATGAACTAAGCTTTGAATCCAATTCTCAAACGGAAACAAACAAAAGAAAATGAAAATGAAAAAGGGCAACAATAATACCCTGAATTTTCTTTGTCGACTTGTTACCCTATGCTTGGCTAAATTGGAATGAGGATTTTGACACATGAATTTCATGGTGCCTTTACTCAATAATGGACCAAAAGCTAGGGGTGTAAATTGAAATCGAAATTGGTAATTCGGAACTTTGAAATCGGAATTTTTCGAAATTTTGGTATCAGAATTTTCGACCGATTTCGATTTCGAATTCACCAATTCCGAATTTGAATTTGTTCCGAATTCAATTCGGAATTCGGTAAATTCCGATTTCACCGAATTCATGAATATAAAAATTATTATTATTATATAATATTATATTACATATATATAAAAAAATATTATATATGTGTGAAAACGAAATTGAAATCGAAATAGGAATTCCGATTTCACCGAATTCATGAATATAAAAATTATTATTATAATATAAATATTATATTATATATATATATATATATGAAAAACAGATTTGAAATCGAAATAGGAATTTCGAATTCAATTTCGATTTCGATTTCGAATTGTGAATTCGAAATCGAAATTTCCGATTTGAAAAATCTCATTACCAAATTCGACTCGAATTCGACCAATTCGAAATCGGATATTCCGATTTCCATTTCAAATTACCGAATTCGAAATTCCGAATTCAATTCGAATTCGGTCTATAAATCGGAATTTTTCGATTTTGCACACTCCTACCAAAAGCTATAAAAATTTCAGAAGACAAGAGCATTGTAAGTATACTCGATGATTGTAAAAATTGAAGATTAATACTTAATGATTTTAATCATAAAATCAACAAATTTAAAATCCTGACAAACCTAAAATATACAGAAAAAAAGAGAGAGGTCATATTAATATATATTCAATTATCCCGTCTTAATTCAACATAACAAAAAAAAGTTTTAAATCTTGTCCTTTTACTTCATGTTAACCTGCTTGATTTGTATTTTGTTTCACATTCAATCTACTTGATTAGTAATTTGAATTGAAAAGTATATTTATTTCTTTTTTTATGAAAAATATTTAGTGATTCACTTATCAAATTTGATTTATTTATGGGACTTAGTTTTGGGATTTGGGCCGATTCCACTTCTTCTCTCTAGCGGAGGGATTCTCTTCCTTCTCTCTAGGTTTCCTCCTCTGCCCTTCCTCCTCCATACGCAGGGAGATTTAAGGTTTCCTCCTTAAGCCAAGGTCTCCCTTCCTCTTTCTTTATCCTTTGCTCTTCCTTTCATTCAATAAAGTCTCTCCTAGGGTGTCCTATTGAGAGTTTTTTTCTCTCCTAGGGTGTCCTATTGAGAGTTTTAGTCTCTCCTAAACTATCTTAGTGAGAGTTTTTATTTAGTTTTGTTTCTTACTTTTTCAGATCTTGGAGTTTTTTTTTTTTAGATCTATATGTTAGATTTACAATTTCTTTAGTCTTCTCATCACATCTCACTTTCAGTATTGAGCTTGAACCAATTGCATAGCATATCTGAGGGAATATTTCATATTTGGATCAATCTCGGCAGATCTCAGCATCTTTATTGAACCTTACAACTATTGATTAGCAGATTTAATGATTACAGCATGCACAAAGAGAGCTACAGCGACTTATTCTATCATGAAATATTTTTCAAATTAAGACGTTGTATTTTTTTTATCAAATACGTCCTTGTTTAATAATCCAACTTAACATTTAAAGTTAATGGATTCAGATTTTAACATGTTTAAATGCGTTTGACAATGAAAAATTAAACATATGAATTAATTAAGTGGTACCGAGTTTTGTAGGCAAAATTTACTTCAAAAAATAAGTGATAAACTATTCATTTCTCACTTAATGTGATATACACTCAAATTGTATCAGATTTAATATTTAACAATTTAATAACTTAATAGATTCAGATTTCAAGATTTCAGATTTCAGTTTTATCAAGTGCACCCTAAGTGTTAAATTAGGTTATCAAACATAATTCATTAAATTTAAATGCTGAATTAGATTGTCAAACAGGTCTCTAAACTATACTCCCTTCATTCCATTTCTTTAGTTACGTTTGGGGAATCTAACTTTTTAACAATAGTGGTTTGATTGTGATGTTTGTGATTCTCTTTCCAATTTTATCCTCATAAATTTAAAATTTAAATTTGAATGGTAACATGCATATGATTAGAAAGAAGGGTTATTTTGAAAAAATAGACTAAAAGATGCTTTGATTTTTTCAACATAACAAATGTCTTGGGATATCTCAAAAATGGAAAGTATGACATTTTCAATGAAATGGACGGAGTAATAATTATCCAAATTGAATTGCTTTTCCAATCTTTCCTCTTTTTTTTTCCCAGCAGGGAAGGGATAGGGGGAATGGTAGGGAATTTGAATCCAATGCCTCTAGTACAGGGGATTTGATTGCAGAATTCTCCAATCAAAGCGGCTTGTTCCATCAAGATGAAGAGGAGGAGTTGGAGACCATCCATTTCTTATGCTGGGAGGTATTTCTTAGCATTTCTGTCCAAGTCGACTTCCTCTTTAGTTGCCCTTTCTTCTTGTTAATTAATACCCAAACTAAACCACGCCAATATCATAAAGGAAATTCCTAAGTTGCCCATCTCTGTTTCCCATGGTGGCTGTGCAACACAAATAAGGCAATTGGTATATGAATTATTGAGCAGTGCATATATTTTCTGAAATCAATCTAATTTAAATGATAGAATGAAGGGCCAAAAAAAAAAGAAAGGAAAGAAAGCAACCTAGATCATGAATTTAGAGCACTCAAACAGAGTAGTACAAACAGATGAAATTCTAGATTCAACATAAATTTCCGATTGAAATATTTTCCTTGCCATATTTGTTATCTTTTTCGGCTAGTTGTCTATTCCCTACTGGATTTTTTTGTATAAATAACTGAAAAAAAAATGAACTAACTGCTTAAAACTTCATAACTACATTGGCCAACGAGTTCCATTTTAACCAAACAAGATTGACAAGAAAGGTTCTGAACAAAAGATACACAAACTTAAACCTCCCGTCTCCAAACTTGCTTTTATCAATAATCTCTTCTGAACTCTGAAGTATCTCTAGGATTTCATGAAAACCTGGAAAAGGAATTAATGGGAAAATTCTGATTAAAGGAAGTAGCTGAAAAAGTTTCAGCAGCTTAGGAATGTAAGGATAAAACTCAATATATGTGCACAAAAGTCCTATCAATCGAACAAGATCAGAAAGGTGCTGAAGAGTTCAACAGAAATGCAAAACAGGACGTAGAAGTTTGATGATCATTGACAGTTTTGTTTCTGTTGAATTAACAACCTTTTATTACTACACAAATTGAAACAAGCTCAAACTCCACACTTTGGCTTTACATCAGTAACTCGCTTCTGAAGTATTTTCAGTGCTTCAACATTCCTGCAGCTAATTTTACATATTTGAGGCAGCTTTGGTATCTGACAATTATGGGGAATGATTTCTTGAGCATTTTGTGGATTGAAGCTCTGGAAACATTTCAGCTAGTGCAGGGCCATCCAGCAATGATGAAACATGATCAGCTAAGAATTGGTATGAAGAACTTGGAGGATGAGGATCGTTGGATGTAGCTTCACTCCACCTGGCCCGTAGGATTAGAGAAACAGAATAACACTCATCTGCAAAATATCCAAGGAAACTGTTCATGCAACTTAGCAAGGTAAAAACATTTTACTGGTCACTAGAATTCTCTCATCAGATTCAACCATGAGCATCATTTCCTCAAACTGTTGTTTACATAAATTATTCAGCTTGTGGATGAACTCTACCAGGTAGCTCTACAAAACGACTTATTAAATTTATACTTTGTCTCATGTTTCTTGAATGGTAAATGATCGGATGAAATCATTGAAACTACCGCATCTCGGATTTTAACAGGTGGATACAAAAGATTCCAATTTGGTATACCTTCCACAAAAGGACATTTGGAAGGAAAGAAGGACCATGCTAGAAATTAAAAATCTCATAATAAAACACATTTATCTCAACTTCTGAAAGTTTATGGCGGCTGATTTGAGAAGAAAACCTTCCATAAATGATTGTCCTAACTCCTAAGTACTCGAGATAGTGGGAGATGAACGCCGAATGGTTGAAAAAACCAATTTCATTCAAGTTTCAGGTCTGTTGGTAATAAGTATTAATGATTAAATTGCTTACCTCTGATTAAATTACAAGCAGGCATTTGGAACATGAATTATTGTGCAGTGCATGTATGTTGAAAAAAAAAATGGACCAGGGGCAGGAACGGTTGCAGCAATTATCTACATTTTGCACAGCGCGTAACTTTGTTTTCACATGGCATAACTTTGTTTGCACAACGTGTAACTTTAGAACAAATTTTTGTGGACTCCACACACATTATTAAAAACGAGGTACAAGAAGTGATCTGGACCATACAAATTTTTGGAGTCAAATCTTGGCCATGAACAGCTCAAGAACGGTCCACCTGATGAACGTCGCTGCCCCGTATCCAAAAAAAATGCATGTTCTGACATCGAGCTTAAAAAATTAATTGATAGGCTGAAGGAAAAAAGTACCTAGATCATAAATTTAGAGCACTCAGACAGGTTAGTATGAAGAGATGAAATTTTAGATTCAACATAAGTTTCACTTTGAATATTGTTCTTTGCCGTGCTTCTTGTCTGTTTCCTAACAGATGTAATTGACTGTCTGAATCACACAAATAACTGAAAAGAAACTAATGCTGAAAACTTCAAAAGTTTGCTTATTGGTGGGTGAAGAATACAGCAACACTTCATCCTCAGATAGATGACAATCTCAGAGATGAATCTTGTTATTGATAATGATCTTGAGCCCCTCCATGCATTCATTACCAATCCTTTTAACTGACTCTTCTGTAGTTAGCCCACAGGATTGCACTTCAATCATCTGCAATGTATTAATATCTGCAAAAGCTAGTGGAACTTCCTCAACGTCCTTACAGTTTTGCAAGTGTAGTTGCTGGAGATTGGGAAGGTGATCACTTGATGCATTCCACTGGACAATGTTCAGACTGTCCAATTTCAAGTACTTGAGTCCAAGGAACTCCACTTCCCTCATATCCCACCTTGGACCCTCAAATGCTCTGGAAACTAATTTGAGGACTTCAAGGTTTGGTAGTCTTCCAATAGCTGAAATATGCGTCCACGGTAGGCGAAAACTTGATAAAGTCAACTTCTTCAGGTTCCAGGGGAGATTAAGTTCACCAGGATTAAGTGCCCGACCAACATAAAGTATCTTCAGTGACTCCAGATGAATTAGAAGGTCTAACACCCGAAACCTGTTGTAATTTGTATAAGCATCCCATGATTCCAGATATATGCATTCGAATTTGCTGAGGTTGGGCATCCTCCTCAATATCATATTTGCAGCTTTGCCGCGAGCAATTGATGGCAAGGAAAAGGAGACTAAGTTCACCAACTTCAACGAATTGCCAGGCTTGTCATCTTGAAAGTTGAAATCAACATGAGTATTCACATGAAGGTGCCTTAACCTCTCCATGGACCATATCGAATCTGGCAATACAACCTTTCCTTTCAACCCCTTCACAATGAAAGATTCTAATTTCCGGAGATTGGATATTGATGGTGGGATGAAGTCTATATCCCCACTAACAGCTAAATATCTCAACTGAACCAATAGTTCGATTCCAGGGGGAAAGGATATGCCCATGTTGATGCATTCCAAATCCAATACCCTGAGAAGTTTGAAGTGGTGAGGGATGAATGAGATGTCAGAGGTCTGGGATATGGATCAACAGCGGCAAAGAATAGCAGAGAACGGGTGCATGGACCAGAAGGGTTAGACATGACAAAATGCTTTCTATTTAGACAAATGCAAATTCGATGTCTCTCAAATGTTACAGGCTTTGGAGGATAATGGTCAATAAAATCAGCTCCACAGTCAAAGTCATCAAAAGAGGTGAATGGTTCATCATACCTAGTGATTACCTGGAAAAAGTTCTCTTCTTTGGCTTTTGACAAGCAGAAATCACGTATCATGTCATGAAGACAACATGATTTGACCCTTCCCTTCGGTCCTTTTTTGGCAACTGCAATCATGCTTCTACCAATTAAGTCTGTCAAATAATTCTCAGCAAGATTTTCTAAGCTACATACAACAGTTTGCCTAATGAAACCTTCTGCTATCCATAGCCTGATCAGTTTGCTTACTGGAATATCTTCATCCTCCAGAAATGACCCAAAGTAAAGTAAGCATGCTTTTAGATAATTAGGTAAATGCATGTAGCTCAGCTGTATGATATCCATGCACTGGGTCTGTGGATCATCAATTAACCGCGCGCTTAAACTTTCTAGAATGCTTTTCCAAGAAGCCTGTTGCTTTTCTGTTCTTTCCAACAGACCAGCTATTGTAACAACTGAAAGAGGTAATCCACGACAGTTTTTAGCAATTTCCATTCCAGCTTTCAACAGTTCATTGGGACAGCCTCCATCGAATATCTTCAGTTGCAACAACTCCCAACTTTCATCATCAGAGAGCAGACGAAGACTATGAGGATTAACTTCAGGTTTAATTTCCAAGACCACATCACAAAGACGACTCGTGATTAATTACAGGTGTCGAGCCTGTGCAATAATAATTACTAAAAAGTCCTAGTTACCACCACAATTAATTATAGAACAAATTCGAGTACTGGAGTAGGGACCCTAGGTGTGCAATAAGTTATTTGATTCACCCTGTTCCCGAAAAGTTTACTTGATCCGATTAGGGGTGCAAACGAGCCGAGCTCGAGCCGAGCTTTGGCTAAACGAGCCGAGCTCGAGTTAATTTTGTGAAGCTCGAGCTCGAGCTCGAGCTCGACGAGCTCAAAATATCAAGCTCGAGCTCGAGCTCGAGCTTAAAAAATAAAAAAATAATTATTATTATTTTATTTTTAAAAAAATAAAAAATAAATATTTATTTTTAAAAATGAATAAAATAATAATTTTTTTAACAAATAATAAAATATTAGGGATATATATGTAATTTTACTATTAAATAAAAAATAAAAAATAAAAAATAAATATATAATTGAGCTCGCGACGAGTTTAATGTTTTTGAGCTCGAGCTCGAGCTCGACATCGACTTAATTGGTTCGAGCTCGACTCGAACTCGATTTTGACGAGCTCAAGTCGAGCTCGTATTCGAGCCGCTCGCGATCGGCTCGCGAGCGGCTCGATTCGCGAAACACCCCTAGATCCGATATACCAGAATTATCTATAAAAATATTAAATTTGCATACAATGGCAAGTAGGGTCGATTCCACAGGAAACGGGTAGAAAGTTGTTTCTTTCCAAGTCAATAAAACAAAAGTTAGGGATATTTAATGGAATGAAAATGAAAACAAAATAAACAAAATTCAAAAGCTAACTCAACAAGTACAATTTACCAAAAAAATGGAAACTAATAAAATTCTACCCAAATGATCAACTTTTCAGGTACGGTCCAATTAAATAATCATCGATGCACAGATATTTCATTCATCCGTCACTTGGTTGGTTATAGCTATCAACAAGTTCTGACAATCAGTTCTTCCTTACTTTTTCGACAGTAAAGGTACAATCATTGACTGCTTCTCTAACCAAAAAATAATCCTAAGTACGACCGTAGAAATTTAATTATCCAGTTGCATTAAAACTAGAAGAACCCAACCCTAACCAATAAACACGCTAAGAGGGTTTATTTAAATTAGATTTTACGTTTCCCCAACATAAAATCAATTATGGTGGTTGTCACTAGTTGTCAATTAAACAAACAATTACGAATTTTATTTAATTAATGTGGCAGTGGGCTATTAGATTAAATTAAATATCCGGCTGTTGATACTCAATTAATAAAATACCCATGAACAATTAATTCAAGAAACGCACGAATAGTAACAAATCGGAAGAAATAATAAAAATTCGATTAGATCTCACGGATGTTATGGACCGCACCTTCGCGTCGACCTTTGGGTAGAGGGGAAACCTAGCCGCTTCTCATCATATCAATCTCGCGTGATTTGATTGATTCCATCCACACAAACATCAAAGAATTGGGAAAGATGAAATAACGAAGAAAGCAAAAGGAAAAGTCTTGATTGTCTCTGATTTTTTTCCTTTTTGTTTGTACTGAAGCAAAGTCAAGAAAAACGATAGTCTAATGGAAGTCGTACAAAAGCCAAAGCAGCGAGTAAATTCTTCTTACAGGGAAAGCAAACTAAAGCTAATCTAATAAGCCCGCGTGATTCTGGCTTTTCCACTGTTCGCTGCCAAAAAGAAAAGAAAACGTCTGATTGAAGAAAAGAAACTACAAGCTAATCTCTTAATGTCACGTGAATCTGGCTTTCTTTCCTTTTGTAGCCGTCGCCAGCAGAAGCAAAGAAACATCAGGGAGCAAGACTTTGTCTAGGAGTTTTAATCCCATGCATCTCCGCGGTTTACGTCAACCTGATTTCCTAATTGGCCCTACTGCTACCAATCCCGTGGGTTCGGTTTTTGGGCATCCTTCTACAGTTTCTGGCGTGGGCACACCCTAAGATGAAAAGTCTTCTGAAAATTCTCCCCAAAATACCACTTTTAACACCAATCGCCTGCAATTTACATAAATATCAAATATAAGCAAAATCTCAATACTTAGCATAGTAAGTAACCAAAATTATGATCAAATAATATCGCAAATAGTGCCCAACAATTGCTCCATCAAATCCCCCCACACCTAGACAATGCTTGTCCTCAAGCATTGCGAAACTTAGAAATACAATCAAGAAGGCAAAGGTCATGCAGTAATCTACACTAACACGAGTATCCCGCATTCCTGACAATGTCGCCAAAGTTAGAACACACCAGACAGGTAGTTATCCAAAGAGTATGAATAGAAATATTCGTCACCTACAAGAGAATGTATGGATACAAGAAACGCTCAAATCAATATCACGAAATGACATTACCATAGGCTTGTACATTTATCACATCTCCACCACTCAAAAGTGAACTAAATACACAAATCAAACGGACTTTAATAGAGTTGTAATGGGACTTAGGTAAAAGGCGGGATAAGAAGGTAAAGATAGGGTGTAATGTGTCAAGAGAATGTCCACTATCCACTACGTAACTACAACGCTTTACTGGAAAAATTTCGCAAGCAAGTCATTTCCATTTGCTATTCCCACTGTGCAAGTGTCGAACTCTTTTTTTTTTTTTTACGAAGCGGCTCGCAAGGCGTGGGCACGCCTTGTGAGCCAGAGTCTTCTATTCACCAACTTGTCTCTTTTTTTTAAGGGAAACGTTTTGCAAGGCGTGGGCACACCATGTAAGCCAGAGTCTTCTGTTCACCAGCTTATTGACGATTTCTCCCCCTTTTGTTTCAAATGTACAGAAACAGCATCATACAAATTCTAGTCTAACAACACTTGCGACCCTAGATTTATTTGCCTTGCACAAACAATGAAATTCAGATATCCCTTAACGACACAAGGGTAAACAAAAAAAGTCTAAAAAGACCCTGGATTATCAAACACAGCTAACAAAATAAAGGAGAAGGATAAAAACCCAAATTGGTCCACTATTGGGAGACAAGATAAAGGCATGGTTTGTAGAAAGTTAAAGAATGTTAGATTTTAAATGCCCTTATCATTCCAGATGCATCCAGTACAACAAAATGTGACTTTAACATGTATAAAATAGCAAGTTTTAAAATGTCAATGCCATGTGTGATACCCACTCAACAACACAAATGAAGCAAACAAGAATAACGTGCTCGTGCATGGCTCAAAAGCTCCCAAAAGTTTCAAGAATGGGTCAAATCCAGTATGTTCAACATTCACCGATATTGTCAAAGAAAACCAAAATGCATAACTAGCATATATGACCACATATCTGTGCACCTTAATTGTGCAATCCATCATAGCAACATGCTCTAGCAGTTAACAAATGTAGAGATAAAAAGAAAATCAACTAACTACACTTTTTTCCTTTTATTTTTTTTTGTTTTTTTCGTTTTCTGTTCGTTTCTTTTTCCTCTTTTTTTCTTTTTTTTCTCAAGCAAAAAGAAATAATAAAAACCATCCCCCCACACCAAAAACCTACATTGTCCTCAATGTAGTCTAGACAAATAAAGTGTAAGGACAAAGGGAGCGAAACATCCCTGAATACTGAGATGGTGCAGCGAGACTCTAAGGAGGAGGAGGATGTGGCGGTTAGAATTCAATATGAGTGTAGAAAGCTGTCTAATGCTCTATCTGAATACGAGCGTAAACCTGCAATGCTGCAAAACGGTCATCGAGTCTAACACCTGATTCACGGATAGAATCTTGGAGGGCAAGTATTGGGAATCCCCAGTAGGATGAGCATGGTAGGAGGAGTGCGCCACTGCAGCGCGTTGTGAGCGGCGGACTAACAAGAAAAGAGGAAAAGATGAAACTGAAACTAAGACAAAACAAAGGAAATTGAAAAGCAGAAACTAAGACAAAGGAAATTGAAAAGACCAGACAAGACAAAAAAAAGAGAAAAGTAGAAAAGTGGGGTTAGAGAGGGTCCTAGTCAATTTTTTTTTGTGTCGCAAAGGTTGGAAGGCGTGGGCACGCCTTGGAGGTCGAGGTCTTTTGTTCACCAAATTTTACAAATATCCATGTGCGGTGAGTACAAGGCGCAGGTACGCCTTGTAATATGAAATCTTTTGCCCACAAATTTTGCCCCTAACCCAGAATAAAACTGCGCAGAAACACCATGACCTACAATAAAGATTGTTTGTCAATAGGAACCTAAACCCACCGATCTTGAATACACGAAGATGAAATAAAACACAATTGAAATCTTTGGATTGCCTTCCAAGTAGCGCCTTTCTTTAATGTCTTTGGCTAGACACTATACACCACTTTTCAGTCTGGATGTAATTCAATTTTTTTTGTAATCGGTGGCCCTCCTCCGGGATCCAAATTGCCATTGAGTGCAACATTTTTTCTTAATTTTTTGCCTATTTTTACCTCATGAATTGCTTTCATTCCATGATCCTTGTTCGCAGCAATTTTGAATTTATCCTTACAAGCAAACTCAGAAAATTCTCGTACAGAGGGATTAGTAGCATGAATAGCAAACAAAGAATGAGAGTTAACAGGATGTTTAATTGTATCAAAAATATTAAAGTGGACTATTTTTTCATCAAATTCCATCGTGAGAGTACCCTTTCTAACATCAATCTTAGTTTGGGCAGTACTCAAGAATGGCCTTCTTAATATAATGGGTGGTGGATTTGGGGCACTTCTATCATCTATGTAAAATACATAAAAATCAGTAGGAAAAATTAATCTATCTATTTGCACTAAAACATCCTCAACTATCCCATCCGGATAAGTAAATGTACAATCAGCCAATTGAATTATTATTCCTATTTCTTTTAAAGGTTCTAAATTTAGAAAATCATAGAATGATTTAGGCATCACATTAATAGAAACCCTTAAATATAGCATGGCATTTTCGATATTAGAACGTCCAATCTTACAGGGGACAGTAAATATACCTCGATGTTCACATTTAGGTGGTAGTTTCCTTTGTAAAATCGCTGAAACATTCTCACCTACCACAATTTGTTTATCCCCTCTCAACTTCTTCTTGTTGACGCATAAATTTTTTAAAAATTGAGCGTATTTTGGCATATGCTTGATCGCGTCCAACAAAAGGATATTGATTGCCACCTCTAAAATCTTCTTTTCCTTATTTTGCTTCTTTGTTTTTTCCAACCTGCAAGGAAAATGAGGTAAGTTAGATTTAATAGGAGTTGAAGGAGTAAATTTTACCTTAGGGTCTTCGCGAATGCGCCCTTCTTCGTCAATCTCCTTTTCGATCTCTTCTTCACTTTTACTCTTTAGGTTCGTGGCCTTTGACCCCTCTACTTCCTTGCTATTTCTCAGTATCATGGCACTCACATTCTTAGGATTTACCTCGGGTTACGATGACAATTTTTTAAAAACTTGGGATCTAAGCAATTAATTGCAGTCGACATGTGGTTTATTTGAGTCTGCAGATTTTTTATGCCCGATCTAGTTTTCTGCTGGAACTGAGCAGTGTAGACACCAAATTTTGAATTAATTGGTATGCTTTGTTTTAGTGATAATTCTTATCGGTTGATTGGTGTTTAGATGGTTTGCATTTTAGTTCATTATTGTTTGTGTTATTTTATTTTAGTTTTATTCACTTTTTAGTTTTTAGTTGTTTTTGTAGTTTTTTATTTTGTAAGTTTTAGCGTAGAATTTTTAGGAAAAAAAGAAAAAAAGTGAAAAATAAAAAGAAGGAGAAAAAGAGGAAAAGAAAAGAAAAAAAAACATGGTTTAATGCATATTGGCTTATCTTTGAAAAAAAAATGAAAAAAGTTTGAAAATTAAAAAAAAAGGAAAAAAAGAAGAGCTTTTTAATGTTATTTACTTCTTGATACATTTTAATTATTTTTATTTTTCAAAGAAAAGAAAAGCGTTCAAAAAAAAAAGAAAAAAAGGAAAAAGAAATATATATATGTTTAGTCGTTTTAGATGTGGTTTCTTTAAAAGTTTAAAATTGGAAAAATGAAGAAAAAGAGAAAAGTGCCGAAAATGGAAAAGGAAAATCGATAAAAAATGGAAGTTGTAATTTGTGGTTTTTAGTTCATTTATTTTCCATTCAATGTTAATTAAATTGTTTTGTTATTTGTTCTTATTATTATTATCAATTTCTGTTTAAAAAAAAAGGAAAAAAAACATTTTCCAGTCGCGGCAAGCTGCAAGCGCAGCTTGCACAGAAGGGCCTGAGGGGTTTCGGCTGCAAATGGTTGAAAAGGGTAGCTAGGTTTCTAGGTTTTCTAACCTATAAAAGCCACGGAAAGGGGCAGCCGCAGGGAAGAGAGAAAAAGGGGAGAGAGTTACGGAAGTAAGCAAAAAAAAAAACGGCAAAAGAAAACGGCAGGGAAAAACAAGAAACCAGAGGGAGAATTGGGACGTGGGTGATTGAAAAGAGGATAGGAGAGGAAAGAAAGATAGCATAAGAGACAGTAGGAAGGGGGGAAAGCAAAAGGGGAAGAGTCTGTGGCAGTTGAGGAAGAAGGTTCAACCACTAATGATCCATCGAAGCTGCTAGTTTTCTGAACCATCATCATCTTCGCCGGAGGAAAGCATCATTATTGTAAGTAGAGCTTTCTTTTAATTCCCAGAACTTCTTCAAACATAAAGCTTTGAGGTCTTCTAAGCATGTATATGTGTTAGTTCTTCACGTCATTTTCCTGTTATAAAGAATGAAGCGGATGTCATCTGCAGTTTTTTTTTGGCTCAAAGGTGCTTTCTTTTCGCTGTTATTATGTATGATGAGGTCAGAAGATTGTTTGGTGTTGATTATATCTCGTTCCTAGGCGGCTTCAGTTTAGCCACAAAATCCCAACTTTACCGGGTCTGCCCGTTCGAAATATTAGATTGGTTGCAAAATAGAGTGGCTTGCCCTGTTTCCTTTTTTATTCTGTTTTGGCTTGCGCAAATATTGAAGTTTTTTTTTCTGGTCGCTGCACCAAGACTGGATTTGTCGCAGCAGTATGGATAGAGCATGTTTCCTTCCTTGGTTTGTTGTTTAAATTTCTGTTTTTTTTCTGGTTCGCCAATGAGCCGCACAGTCGCACAGCAAGGAAAATGGCAAGAAAATCTTTTCCAGATTTCGCGTGGCCCTTCCATCTTATCATGTTGGCTTTTTCGTTTCTTTTCTTTAGATGTTTCTTGTTAAATCTGCTAAGGTTGAGCAAATCATGCTTTGAGAATATGTTAAAACTGATTGTGCTAGTTGGGTGCTGATGAAATAACAATTCTGGTTAGAGTTTCTACAGGAATAGCACCGCACAAGATGAGTTACGAATTTAGCAACAGAAAATTCTCTTTTACCAGAATTTAACAAGGAAATTGTAGTTTCCTTTCTCCCTCCCCTTTGTATGTTTAGTGTGCCTTCTTAAAAGACAAGCTTGCAGCTGGTTCTTGTTTGAAATGACTTTTAAACATAGCTGCACAAGATTGCTGGAATTCCCATGCTCATCGGCTGTAGAGTTTTTTTTTTGTTGTAGAATTGTTTTAGTTACTGAAGTTACTTAGATTTTGCCTGGTTTGCTATCCGGCCATCTTGGTGTTTGAATCTACAGGTGTCATGTTACAAGATGGGAAGATTATATGATAATTGTATTTGGATTGGTTTTATGTTTGAAAAGCTGGTTTGAAGTGCCGAACCTTTTGCCCAGAATTTTCCAGCCTTTGCATGATTTTTTCCTTCTATGTTTTGGTTTATTTGAATGTTGAAATGGTTGTTATGATGCTTAGATTGGTTTTGGGTGTTTGGGTCTAAACATATTTGAGTTGGAACTGAATGTTTGTTGGCCACATAGACAATAAGTAGCTGGATCATTTTGCATGAAAGTTGCCAAGAAACTTGCATCAGTTTGTTATGTTTGTTTGCTGTCAAAGTTTCGAACCTTGTGATTTAGTTCCACAATGTGACTTGGTTAATATTTTCTGTTTTTGAACCAAGCTATCCTTTGGGTTTGAAATCTGTGTTTAGAAATGAAAATCACAACTAGTTTTGTTGCTAAAAGACTCCACCCTTCTGCCAAAGCTCCCAAATTGCAGCAATCTCCTTCCATCTTGCCTAAAAGTTCCATAAGTGTTTGTATAATTTCCTTCTATGTTTTGCTTGTTGGGTATGAGTTTTGTTTGTTTTGATTGCTTAACCCAAAGTTTGAATAAATGAAAGGGTTAGTCAAAGCTACTTAGAATTTGTGTATGAGTTAGAAATGCAGCTAGCAATTGTTTTAAGGTCAAGTAGATGTTCATTGCAGAAACTTTTGTTCCTCACGTATGCATGCATGCCAATATTTCTGAATTTAGCACTTTGACCCCCCAAGTCCCTTCTCATTTTACTATGGCCCAAACAATGGAAAATGGTAATCGAATTGATCCTTCAAATTTCTTTTCCATTTCAATTGGGATTCCCATTTAATGAATATGGATTTGTTTGATTATTTGAAAGGCTCCAATGGTTCAATTTCATATCAATTAGTGGTTCCTTGACTTTTGTTTTGAATAACTTGTGCTATTTGGTTTACTATAAATTGGTGCATTAATCTTTTGTTTTTGGTGATTTTAGCCTAAGTTAGTCTTTTCTTGGATGATTCTAGCCAAGTTGAGTTTATTCATTTCGTTAATATCACCAACGGGGGGAGGTATCATTTCTTTTATCCCTTTTGTTTCTCTCCTATGTGGACTAATGTGTTAATTGAAATTTGCATGTCTACTTGCTTTCCTAGCCTCTCCTTATTTCCTTTCATTTATTCCATTTATTTTTTATTTTTATTAATGGGGTATGTGTACACCTCTTGGTTTGTAATAGATAGGGTGTAGCAAGTAATTTGGTCCATTTTCCCTTTCCCCTTTGTTTTAGTTAGCAAATGTAATGGTTGCATGCCTATGTGTTATATGTTAAATGCTTTACTAGGATCTTGCATCTAGCCGAGCATGATAAGTGCTACATGATTTAAGTGATTTGCATGTCTACTCGCTTTTTGTAGTATAGATGAATGGAATGGATGAATGTACGTCACCACACTAGTCCAACGCTAGTTTGTGGTTCACATTTTTCACTAATCTAATGATAGTAGGATGTCATAGAAAGGGCTAGTCCAATGCTAGACCCAATAAGTTTTTTTTTCCTTTTTCATTAAGTGCATGATCACCACATATCACGCATTTTTCCTTAGTTTATCATTTGGTATGTTCCTCAAACCCCTTCCCCTTCACTTTAGGACTTGCATCTCATGCTAGTTAGGGTTCATTTGCGTGAAAATCCCCTCTTGATAAGGAAAACGAGCGAGTGTGGCTACTCGATAGCCTTAGCACGCTAGTTTCACCTTCTAATCAAAGGGAAAATAGAAGTCGAAAAGTTAGGAGTCAACCCCCGTACCCGACTTGTTGCATTCCCTTAGGGACATACTTTCATTTTTTCTCACTTCCATGCTCTTTTAATCACTTTTTCTTTCCACATTTCTCAATCCATATTTTTCACTATGTTTTACTCATCTTACTCCACAAGTAGAATTCAAGTTTCATATATATTTATAATCCTATCTTCATTCATTTGCACACACTAATACTTTGATTTTTCATCCAAATTCACACGTGCACTTTCCTTACATACTCACACGCTAATACTTTGATTTTTCATCCAAATTCACACGTGCACTTTCTTTACACATGCGCACACAAACACTTTGTTTTTTTACACCATTTCATACATGAATCTTTTCATACACTTGCACACTTGCACTTGAGTCACCATTTGCATCAATCGACCTCTATGAGGTTTCCCTTTATTGGCCACCACAATTCATGTGGTTTGGGACCAAAAACCTCACAAGAGACATCGTAGAATTTAGGATTGCATTTTTTCATTTTTGCATTCATATAGGCATAATTCAACATGCAAAACATACCCTGGGTAGAAAGTCAGGAAAGTTAGGGTTAAGTTACGCAACTAGTCTTGGCTAGGTCAAAGGGGTGCCTTGGAGTCTATCCTTGCCTTCCCCTTTGTCAAACGTGACTTCCGAACCTTTTTCTTTGTTTTACGTAGACTAGGAGTCGTTTTAAAAAGGGTTCATTACTGCTTAACTCATTTTTAGGTGACTTGGTACACCTTAAATTATTACCAAGTGGCGACTCCAAACTTTTCATTTAAAAACCCTTTTTAAAACTATTTTTTGGGTCAAATCGTCGCATTCTCAAACCCCCATTTAGGCCCACTTTTCTTTTAAATCACAATTCATTTTTTTCAATCACAAAAAATACATTTTTTAAACCATTTATTTATTTATCAAAAAATGGGGCGCGACAAGCAGTACTCGTGACCAAGGATCTAGTTTCCTGCTAGA